GTCTTCACCTGTGTTATTTCCTTTACCTAGTTATGCGCCAGCCCCATGGAAGCACGCTTGTTCCAATGTTCTGTATCTTTAGGCAGAGACATTTATTTAAATGAAAATAAATGAATGAATGAAAAGGATCCAGAGAAGGAGAGATCCCAGGGATTCTATAGTTCCAACTTTAGTTTTCCTGAGCATCCACTCACCAAATCTGTTTTTTCTGTCCACATGAAGCATATGCCCTCACTGTGGACAGCAGGTGTGGTGACCTACAGGAGGCATCGCCACTTGTCAGGCTCCTGGACTTCTAATCCTGCAAATTGCTTCTCCCACCTGTGCTACCTGGCTCTCAGGAAAGGAGGAGCATGTCACCCTGGACGCCATTCCCCAATCACTTTGCCATGTGACTCTTGAATGGGGTCTTCATTTCTCCTGTGGCCTGCCCACATCCTTAGGTCTTGTCTCTTTGAAAAGGTGATTTGACAGACCTTTCTGAACTAACAGGTTTTGCTTTCATGAAATCTGTGTCTTGCTTAAGGTGTGTGGCAGTAAGTTTGCTCTCAAATCACCCCTTGTTTTTATCTATTTTTCACAGAGTCTGGAACAGTAAACTAGATTCTTTTGGTTATAATATGAACTGTGACAAAAGCCTAATGTAATATACCATTAGATGTCCCTGTCAAATATATGTATGTACTTATGCAGGAAAGAAGACAGAAATAAAAGAAAGGTGAGAAGAAGAGAAAGGAAGGAAGAGCAAAAAAAAAAAAAAAAAAAAGCAATCCATACCATGCATGGATGCAGACCTCAGGCACAGCTGGATCCAGAGGTTTATATATCATTCTCGATCTTGGTCACTAACCCCAGTCATTGGCCCTGTTTGCTTATATACTTCCCTGGCAGGGTGACTCTCCACAAGGCAAAGAAATGGCTACTATTAGCTCCTCCAGATCTTGTGAACTTGGACGCAGAACGCTATCCCCCAATGCTCTGGCAAAAGTCCCAAGGAGAAGTTCAAGAGGCCTGGTTTGGAACATGTGCCTGCCACTGAGCCAACTGCTGTGGCAGGTGGATTGGAAAACTCTGATCAGTCAGCCCTCGGTCAAACAACCCCTTGGGGAGAGGGTCAGGGGAGAAAGTCAGCCCTCCTTCAAATATGTACTGATCATGGCTTACTGTACAATTGAAAAGGACTTACATACTACAAGGTAGCATGCTAGGTAGGGAAGAAAGAAAAAAAAAACCCACCTCTATAACCTCAATTCAGTCATTAATGTCTGCTAGCTTATTTTGCTTAGTCATTCCATCCACTTAGCTTCCTTATATTCCCTATATATGTGAAGTCATCCAATACTTTTGGCTGATATTGCTTTGCATAATCCCTTAAAGGTCCTTCCATCTTGCTGCAAATGGCAAAATTTCATCATTTCTTAGAGTTGATTGGTATTCCCTTATGTGGATATATTGTGTCTTCTTAATCCAGTGGGCATTCAAATTACTTCCACAGCTTAGCTATTATAAATAATGCCACAATAAGCACTGTGGAACATACGATTTTTCAAATGGACAGTTTTGTGTTCTTTGGACAGATACCCAGAAGTGGGATTGCTAAACTGTACAGTCTTTCCATTTTTTAGTTTTTTAATTTTATTTCTTTCTTTATTTTTTTGAAGACTTTTTTTGAGTTGCAGATTTATTTATTTATTTTTTACATCATTCTTCACTTTGTGCATTTCCCCCCATTTTTAGTTTTTTAAAGAAAGATCCAGACTGCTTTCAAAAATGGCTACACTATTTTACATTTCTATCATTGGGTTGCTGCAGAATGTCTTTACTTTTCCATCTTTAACCAGAAATCCTCTTTTGACTGTTTTTTAACCCAGCGTAGTACTGGCACATGAAGCTTACAAATAAGGCTTTCAATCCTTCTTATTGCTTCCATTCCTTATAGTAAGGGCTGGGAGGAGAGGGTGATGAAGTGGCATGGTTACTTCCATTTCACAGAATAAAAAACTGAGCCTTTGAAAATGTTGACACTTCTCAAAGATTGTGTATCTAATGCAATGGGCTGAGAAAAAGACCAAACCTAAATCTATGTATTTTAAATGTATGTATTCTGGCTCTATAATTGACTACTCTTGGACTTTCTTCCTAAAGATCACATTTCCAAGCCACAATGCAATATTTGTTTTTTGTTTTTTGTTTTTTTTTTTTTTTGCAGAAAGCCTTAGAAGGATTTTAAGCAGATACATAAAGGGATTCATCAACTTGAGCCACTGGATGGAGGGATGGAGATTAAAAACACATACATATTTTAATGGAAGCTGTTTTCAATCCATATGGTAACATTAAGAGAAAACAGAGTGCTGCTAAGGAGCAGAGCTGCCAAACCTTTAATAAACCCTTAAGTGGACACAGTGACTGTTACAACTGGCACACATTTGGAAGATGTTCCTCTGATAAGTGCTTCAGAATGTGTTATCTTTTGGAAAGTTACATAGTTCCTCCCTCCCCCAAGATCGTGTTGGCAATATCTTGCTCAGCAAGTTCTTTTCCCACCATAAGCCGCACAGACTTAACCTCCCGTCCATCCTATGTCTGAGCTACCCATATTCTAAAGGACTGGCCTACCAATGAGTGTGGCTTCACTGAACTCAACTACAGTGATGTGGCACTTGACAGGCATTCAGCCAACGACGGAACATGCATGATGGTTGCCCCTAGCCTGCACCATCTAGCCTAGCTGTAACACACTACATCACCCAGGTTTGCATAATGGCACTATGATGTTCACACAATGGCAAAAACTGCCCAACGACACTTTCCTCAGAATGTTTTGAGGTGACTCCTGCCTGTGCTTTTCGTATCCAGGCAGGGAGGCACTCCATGTTGACTTGGCTGCTCTCCCACAACACAGCATGTGGGGGAGCATGTCCCCACTTCCTCTGTCCCCTTCACACAATCTCCCTCTCATGCCTTTGTCATTCCATGCCTTCCTCTTTTCTAGTCATGCGTTCCCCTGCCTGCCAGCTCATGACAAGTCCTCCCTTTCCACTTTATGGGCTAAAGATGAAAAAAAAAAAGTTAATTAAGGGTAGGGCTTCAGCATCAAAACTGGGAATATGCAACTGCATAGCAAAGATCATTTCTTGGAATTCTTCACTTCATGTTTACAAGAAACAATTATCAAGTGTCCCAGACTGATTCACAAATATAATTAATGAAAGACTTGCTAATAGTTTCCATTTTCTGTTTTGTTTTAATCCTACTGTATAAACTTCTATTTTCTGGCACCACTTCAACAAAATCCCATCCAGTGGTTAAAGGAGGTAAAGATTCACACTGCAAAAATGTTATTGGGAGTCAGACTTGCCACGGTGTATTGCAAACCCAACTCAGACAGGATCATTAGACAATACAAAAGCTGTCCTAACAAAACAAAGAGAAAACAATTAGTGTAGCTGCCAATGCCTCGTAATTCCGTAATTCCGGACAGTCAGAAGTGCCTCCAATCCCTAATTGATTTCTCCTTTGCTGTTTATGGGATAAAACATGTAACTAGAAATACCTTTGCTGTCCCAGACTAAGGAAGACATAATGAGCTCTGGTTTGCCAGACTATTTTGCAACCTCTGAAGGTCTGCAAAAAAATAAATAAATATGACAGCTCTAGTCTCTGGTTTTTCCTAGTCAACTTTAATTACGGTAAGGATGGGTGCAGCAAGATAAATGTTTCCTTTTCACTTCAGTGCTGAGAGAAACACCCGCTCTCCTGCTGCCTTTTATGTTTAAGCTCTGAGGTCCGCAGCCCTATTCTTATTCACCAACTGGAAAAGATCTGTTGTAGTGGCCAGTTTGATGTTTTGTGCTCAACTCCCAAGGTCCCAATTTGAAGCAGTTCTCTTCCACTTAAGGAGACATTGCATTTTTCCTTTAATTTGAAAAATGTTCTGAATGCAAAGTGACTCTAGAAGGACCGGGAGATTGCCTAATATAAATTCTGCGTGTGCGACACTTTTCAGGCTGTGTTAACAGACAAGGTCAGTTCAGCTAAACTCCAGAGCTGCCAAGTAGTCAGTTCGGGGGAGAAGTTTTCAGCATGCTCCATGGGTACAAGCCAAAGTCCGACTCAAGATCTAAAGTGAGGGTAACAAGTACTTGGTCTTAAAATGGCCCTTGGAATTTAATCTTGTTAAGGCAAATTCATACTGGCAGTTATCCATAATGACCAAATGGAAACTTGTAGAAAAATATCCTTGACTGAGTGACCCTGTCCAGCCCAAGACCTCTGCCTTCTTGGTATTACCACTGGCTGGGACTGGAAAACAGGGTCCACTCTCCCTGCACCACCCCTTGCCCTGGCCCACTGTTGTTGGTATTGAGGGCTTCTTGAAGAAAGCACCAGGGGAAGAATTCATGTGGTCCACAGAAATGAACATTTCTTGACAGATCCATAAAGTAGTGGGAAGCCCTATCTAGGAAAACGGGATAAACTAAAGTAATTCCTAATCATTCACATTAGTACAGGAATATCATCGATAACAGAAAATCATAGAATTTTCCTGTTTTATCTACTAGTCTGCAAAGTGAATATTTCAACTCAAATTTCTATTGGGAAATAAAGTTAATTCAGTGTCCAATCTTTTGTGAAGTTAACAACAGTGAACTAACCCAAAGAAAGGTAACTTGTGATTCCAAGCCAGACAGGAACCCTCCCCCGCCAAATCAAACACACTCATGCAATGACCAGCCTCACTCAAGGGTGGGCTGCAGCTGTCCATCAAAAGCACGGACTTAATTCTGACAGTCCTAGCAAAGCAGCAGTTTGGCAGGTAGGAATAAACATTTTCCTGAGAACTAAGCAGGGGTAATGCGATTGCAACTCCATTAGCTATGCTCCACTATGCATCATTAACTTAAAACTTGTTTGTAAAAGGGGCAGGTGATCCACATAAGAACTACCGATAGACGACATAGTATCCTGAGCAGAAAATGAAATAAAAAAATACTGACCCTCCACTTCTGAGGTGAGATGGCAAGGATGTTGCTCCTCTGAGCATTTCTCGTTCCTTGAGTTCACTGAAGCTGCCATCATAAGTTAGCTGTAGTGGGTGACTCTTCAAGCAGCCAGTGGCATGTGGTTCCTTTAAGTAAATCCCATTTACTATCACCATGGAGTCCCCCATCATCACTGTATCTTTGGGTTCCACTGTCTTCTTTGCTGTAATAACCAAGGAAATGTTTGGTCAAAGCATTTAATTTAGGAATCATAATCTTTCAGTACTCTTTTCAGCCTAAGAACTTATATACATTTGAAAATTATGTTTCTGATTATCAAGTCTGAGAGTCTATGGCCAAAACCTCCCAGAACTATATACAAGGCCTCCCATAATTTGGGGCTCAGCATCATAAACTCAGTAGGGAAAGATGACTCGGATCTTAAGTTTATTATCTTAGCTTTATCTAAAGGCAAACACTCACATTTAGGTTTTAGACCTCTCTTGGAACCTTAACAACAGTGAACTGACCCAAAGGGTGGGTCTACACAAATGACCCCTCTTCTTGAATTTGAGTATGCCGGTAATTTTTCAGTCAAAAAAATACCTGTTGAGACGTTTACCAATGTCAGGCACTGTCCTAGTGCATCAGTGACAAAACAAAGATCCCTGACTGATAGGAATTATATTCTATGGTTACAAACAGAAAGTAAAAAAAAAAAAAGAGGTATATAGTATAATAAGGCTTTGAAAACAACACAAAAACAGAACAGCGGCAATGCACAAAGGAAATAGGAATGAGGGTAGGTGGGTGGCAAGGTCGAGTAGGGTGGGGTGCTGAGCAAGCCCTCAGTGGGGTGAGGCGTCTAGCAGCGGGTGACAAGGGACAGTATTTCCAGCAGAAGGAACAGTTGGTGCAGTCGTCCTAAGGCAGGAGTGTGCCTGGTGTGTGCAAGAAGCCGCAGAAGTGTAGTGGTGAGGGGAGGAGAGGAGAAGAGAGGAGGGGGAGGGAGGAGAGGGGGAGAAGTCTGTACTGGTACCGATGACAATGACACAGGGGCTTCTAAAGAGGAATGGGTCAAACTCAAGCAGTCTCCATTGGATTCTCGAACTTGCAATCTATTGTTCTGTATCAGCATCAAGATGAATGTGCACACAATGCTGTACCTCACTCTAGTCTAACATAAAATATTTGCCAAGGGAGAATGAGTTTCATACAGAAAAATACTATTTTGCAAGCTCCTCCAACTCAGGGCTCTCTGATTGCACCGGAACCAAAACACAAGGAAATAATCACCAACAAAGCCACCCATCTCCTCTAAACAAGCTATCGGCTTTCCAAACGCTGACTTTTAAAGCTGAAAGAACCTTAGAGATGGCGAGTCTAACTTCATGTTTGCTGTTTTATTCTTTTCCCCTTCATTGTTTTAGATGAGAAATTGAGAACCCGAAAGATTAAGTGACCAGTCCGAGACCAGACAGAGCATGTGCAGGGAGAGCCTGGCTCATGTGGTGGAAAGTTCATGGCTTTTGCTCCCGACCGACTTGGGCTCAAGCAGAGGCTCCCAGAACAGCAGCGATGAGATGTGGCCAGGCCACTCTGCTCTTCTCTCACCTCGCGCAGGCACACCTCCTCTAGTCTAACCCCCTGCCTCCCGCCCCTAGGACATGCTGAGAATTAAGAGATAAGTGGTGCTAGCATGCACACTCAACACCCAGTCATTGTGCTAAGGCGGGTCATGCATGAGGCTTGAAAGAGCAGGATACATATAGGGAACTGGAAGGAGATCCACGTTGCTGGTGCCTAGATTTTAAGTGGTGTGGGTGAGGGCAGCGAAGGGGAGAATGGGCAAAAGAGAGGGGAGAGAAAGGCCTAGAATATCAGACTGGTGGCTGTGCCTACCAAGCAGGGACTGTATTCCCTGGGCCAGAGGCCAGCAAACCAAACCACAGCCCCACCCAACAGGATCTGCCTCCTGCCTTTGTACATCTACCTGTTAAGAATGGATTTGAATTTTTAAGTGGTTGGGGGGGAGGGGGGAGGAATCCAGAGAAAAATATTTTATAACATGTAAAATTCAGGTTTCACTGGCCATAAATCAGTCTCTGGTTACTTTCCCACTACAGCAGCAGAATTGAGGAGGTTGAACAGAAACTATATGGCCCAGCAAGTCTAAGACACTTACTCTGGCCCTTTACAGAAAAAGTCTGCTGACTTCTGTGCTAGGTCAGTATTTCCCAAGCCGATTTCACAGTCAAGTAGATTGTGAAATACTGGATGGAATTAAAATTAAGCAGGTTTCTTTACCAGACAGACAGCTTTTCTGGGCCCCTGTGCTCTGTGAATGTAGAAGAGGGGCAGCAAGTGGGCACAATGATTTGCAGGCTGAACTCTTTTTCCAATGAAAAGCTATTAATAGTTTGCCAAAAGTGTTCCCGGGAACTCGGTTTGGCAAACACTCTTTTAGGCCCAGGGGGACCTCTGAAGGGTTTCAGCAAGATTTTTTTGTGTGTGTGTACCCTGACCTCTGACTCTTGTGGCATACACAGAAAATGATCATTTTTCATGGTGCATGGGGAAAAGGGGAGGAGGCCACAAGCTCACTGCTGTGTCTAGCTGGGATCCTGGATTCCCCAGGCACTGCTCACTGCTTTGAGGACTGAGGATCCTTGTGCTCCCCGCAGGGAACTGAGGGCAGAGCAAGACAGGAGAGCTGGAAGACCCAGACCAGGCAAGAGGTGACGAAGACCGTGAGACCGTGTTGGGAAAAGAGAACACAGGCCCAAGAGTTATCTGGGGAGCCCCTGGAGGCCTCCATGATGGCAGGGATGTCAGGGCTCTGGGAGGAGGTCAAGACTACACTGGTCTCTGACTTGAATAACTGGGGACACATTAGCAACAGTGTCCCCTCCAGCTAAACCCCTACTTGATCACACAGCAAGTAAGCTGTTAGCCTGGAAGGCTGACTACAGCACTTCCGTCACTTCCTTACATCAGGAATTTCCAAAGTGCCACCTTATCTTTAGTTCTGCCTGTGGCGATGACGGTCACAAATGACTTCACACCAAAGGAAGGGACTCGCCCTGTGTCTCCAAGCACAGCTGCCTTTACCACCTCAGTTACCTCACAGAAGGTACCTTTTCTAAACAAAAGAGACAATGAAATGTACCAGGGAGTTGCTGGTACAGATGACAATGATTTCAAAGCAGGCACAATAAAACTTAAATTCGTTTAATTGGGCGATGTGTTTTTTTTTTTAAAACGACAATGACTCTGACTGCCATTATGTCCCGAGTGCTGACACAGACCTCAGGGATGATGAGAATGGCGAAGTGGGGAAAATGCAAACAGGGTGGATAAAAGAACCGGAACAAAGACATGCTTCAGTGCAACTTGATGTGAGAATAGGGCCCTGGTGCCAAGGATGTGACACCTCGGCACCTCCCAGAGAACAAACCAGGGCGAGAAAAAACAAGCATGCCATGCTCGGGCCTGTTCCCCATGGCCTTGGCCCTGCGTGACCCCATGGCCTTGCTCTTTCTACCTCGCCCTTGGTTATCCACCAGACACTGATCTTCAGGCTCCCACTGAACCTGCTCCCATCTTAGGCCTATGGTCCCTTCAGCACGGGCACTTTCTTCACAGGTGTCTAGTGACCACCTCCTTATTACCGTCATTTCAGCTCAGATGCCTCTCCTCATGGACACCTTCTAGAGCAGCCTTGAGCTAAGGCAAATGCTTCATGCACAGTCATTCTCTATGCTGGTCTCTTGTTTCTCTTCACAGCACTTGTCAGAAGCCAGGTCCACTTACTTTGTTGATTTTTTTATGTATTATCTTCCTACCCTTTGAGTGCAGGATGTGGTCAGCCTACCACGGTGCCTGGAACTTACTAGGCATTCAACTGGCTGACTGACTGTTAGAAAAGATACACACTCGGGCATGGAGGTAAAGCAGCTGTACTGACTCTGTGCCTTTTCCTTTTTCTGTGATTCTACCTCTTCATCTATGTCAGGGACCACTAGGGGCCACAAGGACCAGAAAGGAAAATGAGTAGCTTGGGCTGGGAGGTGTGGGGAGCTGTGGTCACACCAGGGCTGGTGGGAGTGGCGACCACTCAGCTCCAATCACTCCATAGGCAGCTCTACAGAAAGGGGTCCAGTGTAGCCAGATGTTCTGAGCCATAAATCTGGATTCTTCCATGAGAACTTCTATAATTAAATGCTAGCAACCAATTACAAGAAGATTCTTATATGTCAGACAGGTAGGATCCTCAGATGGCAGCTTGTAACCTTCAGGATCCATCTTCAGGTGATCTCCTTTCTGTGACTATATACCTATCCCTCTTCATCAGTCCTTGTTAGCTGAAGAAAAGTCAGTTTTGTTAGTGATGTAGTTTTTCCAACTTCTTGGGTTACATATAACAAGAAATAAACCTATAATATGATTTCAGCTTTTTGGGCTACATATAATAAGCAATAAACTTATGATTTCAACTTTTTGGGCTACATATAATAAGCAATAAACTCATAATATGATCTGGAACATACAGGTACATAACTGAAGCAACATGTAAGCCCGACTGTCCAAAACAGAGCCTAATATTATCCAACCACCCCGCTTCATTTTTGAAAAATGCTGACATGATCTACTGACTTGATTGTCATCCCACTAATGGGTCATTTTCTACAGTTTGAAAACTTCGGATGTACTGGACTTAGAATTTCAGATTTTTAGCCTCTCGGTTCCTAGGTTTAGATCCCTGCTAGCAAATCACTTTTGCTTATCTGTTCACTTGGGGTCAGAAAGATCTCTTCAAAGACCTAAGCTTAGTCTGCGTTATATGAATCTTCAACATACCTAATGGAATGAATAACTTCTGAGTTCTAATTTTAAAATTATTTATTTCCAAGATAAAAAAGAAAAAATCATTAGAAAATACTTGTCTTGGGCCTTCCCTGGTGGCGCAGCGGGTTAAAGCACAGCACTGAGAAGCTAAAGTCACTTCCGCATGAGTTCGATTCCCGCCTGCCCCGGAGGTGACGTGGCGCCGCAGACCTCTCCTGACTAGCCCGCTGCTCCCCTCAGCAGTGTACTTTGTCAATCTGCCTGTTCTGCTCTCCACTCTGTCTCTGGTGAAGCCCCTGAGCCTCTGGCCTGTACCCCAGTTCTGTATATACAAATAAATCTTTAAAAAAAAAGAAAATACTTGTCTAAGGCCTACCAAGTAATGCTTTTTTGAAAACTATAATATGTAAGGTTTCTTTATAAACAACGAGAAAAACATACAAATGTATTTCTGTTAGATTTTCCCATAATATGAGCTAATCTGAGTCAATGTTACAATCGCATAGGGTTAGAAACATTTACCTAGAAATAACTTTGGTGTGCAAATTCAAGAAACATGCCTGCCCAGGATTTTAAAGGGTGTTATGCAGCAGCCTTACGTTCAGCAGGAGGAAGGGTCCTGTCCGGCAGAAGCGTCCCCTGGGAGGCAGCCCTGAATAAACGCGCCCGGGCACTGCTTATTTTTCTAATCTTCACAGGGTCCACTGGGGGTTTAGGAAAAGAAGGACAGGGACCCTCCTCTGTGGTGGGAGATGCTGGAGCTTTCGGTTTCTGGAAAGAAATGTTTTAAATGATTGATATGAGTTTCTATGCCTCAAATAAGACTCAGCACCCTGCAGCTGGCCCTGACGCTTCCAGGGAGCACAGGTCTTTCTGCTTGGCTTCATGCCACAACCCCACATCTCAATGGCCCATCATGCTTAATGTGTTGTAAATATAATACAATACTGGTTTTTTGGTCATTTAGAGTTTATTAAAGACTCTGATATCCTGCTAGTGTACCTGAAAAAGAAAAAAACAGTTTAACCCATACTTGCTGACAGATGTCTATATGCAGGACTGTAAGATCAGATGCAGATTAAACATACTTTGTAAATTTCTGTGTTCAATTCAGCTCAGGAAATGTTTACTGGGAACCCATATGGATCAAAAGCTATGTGGAACATATACTACCTTTACGTGTTGGGTTCCACAAAAGTACTTTTTAATGATAGAGAAAATTAACAATTAAGATTATAAAGTCACAAAACATAAGAGCGAATAGTTGTCCTGGATATATTATATAAAAATGTTTCACTTTATATATCTCAAGAATTCTATGCTGGTAACTTTTAGAAAAGGAATATTGCTGGCCAAATTTCAATTCTCCAAAGAGAGTTTTAAAAATAACGCACCTGGGCCAGATGGGCTTAATAGATATATACAGCACATTCCACTCAAAAGCAGAAGAATACATATTCTTCTCAAGTACATATGGAACATACTCCCAGATAGGTCATATCTCAGGCTACAAGACAAGTCTCAATAAATTTAATAAAAGTGAAATCATATCATGCATTTTTTTTTGACACTAGAAATTAATTACAAGAAGAAAACTGAAATATAAATATGCAAAGATTAAATAGCCCACTACTTAGAAACCCGTGGGTCAACAAAAGATAAATAAAAAAAAATGCTTTGAGACAAAAGAAAATTTAACAAATCCAAATCAATGTAGACAGCAAGAGCAGTTCTAACAGTGAAGTTTATAACAACATGGATCTACCTCAAGGAACAAGAAAATTTCAAATAAACAACTTAACATTATGCCTAAAGAACTAGGGGGGAGGGAGGGAAAGCCCAAAACTAGCAGAAGGAAGGCAATAACAAATAGAAAATACAAAAAAAAAAAAAAAGCAGCAAAGACAAGCTAAATTGTCAGAACTTCAGCTAGAATCACCAAGAACAAAGAGAGGGCTCCAAAAACATCAGAAATGAAAGGGAAAGATGTTACAACTGATGCCAAGGAAATACAAAAGATAAGAAAAGACTATCATGGGCAATTAAATGCCTGCAAATTGGAAAAATAGGGAAAAATGGATAAACTCTTTGAAACATACAATTTTCCAAGACTGAATCCTGAAAAAATAGAAAATTTGAACAAACCAATTATTAGTAAGGAGACTGAAGAATTAATCAGACTTCTCAATATACAAAAGTCTAGGACTAAACAGATCCACAGGTATATTCTACCAAAAATTAAAAGAAAACTTAATACCTATTCTCAAAATATTCCAAAAATTGAGAAGAGAATGTTTTCAAACTCATTTTATATGATCAGCATTACTGTGACACCAAAACCAGAGACTGCATAGTATCACATAAAATGTGGGAGACATGCAAAAACCGGCAACAAAGTGTTAGCAATAATATTTTAAATTAAAAATGTATTAAAAAGAACCATATGTATTGAAATTTATTTCAGGGATGCAAGGATGGTTCAACATCTGCAAAGCAATGTAACATGTCACATCAGAAATGAAGGATAAAAACCACATGGTGATCTCAGTAGATGTAAAACAAGCAGTTGACAAAATTCAACACCCATATATATTTTAAAACTCACTCAATAAAGTAAGTAGAGAGGGTGCAAACATCAACATAATAAAGGCCATATGTGACAAATCCACAGCTAATATCAAATACAACAACAATGCATGGCTTAAAGTTTTTCCAAGACAAGGAAGCAAACTCTCACAGCTTTCATTCAACATAGTATTGGAAGTCCTAGCCAGACAAAAAAAAAAAAAAAAAAAAAAGAAAGAAAGGGACATATGCAGAGGAAGGAAAGAAGAGAAATACCTTCAGACCCAGCAGAAATCAAAAGAAACTACAGACAGTTCCATTTTACTGCTCTGACTATCTAATAATTACAAACAAACCAATAAAAGTCAGAAAGAAAGAAAGGAGGGAGGGAGGGAGGGGAGGAGAGAGGGAGGCAGGCAGGCAGGCAGGCAGGCAGGAAGGAAGGAAGGAAAGAAGGAAGGCATCTAAATTGGAATGTAACTGTCATTATTTGCAGACAACTAGAAAACTCTAAAGATATCACAAAAAGAAAACTATCAGAATTAATGAATTCAGGAAAATTGTGAGTCACAAAATCAACCACATCAAAACCTGTTGCATTTTTAAACACTCATTATGAATTGCCAGAAAGAAAAACAAGGAAGCAATTCCATTTACAGTTTTATAAATGATAAATGCCTAGAAATAGACTTAACTAAGGATGTGAAAGATCTGTATACTGCAAACTCTAAGACACTGAAGAAAGAAATTAAACACACATAAAAGTAAAGATATTCCATGCTGATGATTGAAAGAATTACTATGCTACAATATCTACAGTATTCAAAGCAATTTACAGATTCAATGCAATTCTGAGAAAATTCCAATGACATTTTTCAAAGAAATAAAACCATCTTAATATATGTCTGGGACCACCAAAGACCATGAGTAAGCAAAGAAATCTTAAAACAGAAGAACAAAATGGAGGCATCGCATCCCTTGATTTCAAACTATAATATAAAGCTACAGTAATCAAAACAAAATGGTACTGGCATAAAAACAAACACATATATTAATGGAACAAAGAACAAAACCCAGAAATAAATACACACATATACAGTCAATTAATTTATCATAAATGGAGGCAAGAATATATAATGGGTAAGGGATAATTCGAGAAATTGTTTTGGAAAAACTAGACTATCCACATGTAAAAGAATGAAACATTATCTTACACCATAAGCAAAAATTAACTCATAATCAATTAGGGACTTAAAGCCATAAATCTAGAAAACATAGGTTTGACATCAGACTTGGTTATGATATTTTGAACCCAACTTCAAAAATAAAAGCAATACAAGCAAAAATAAGCAAGCAGCACTGCACCAAGCTATAGTTTCTGTACAGCATAGGAAACTATCAGTTGAATGAATGAAAATGCAGCTTACAGAATAGAAGAAAATATTTGCAAGTCATACATCCCTATGTTTAAAGAATTCATACAACCACTAGTGAAAAAACAATCCAATTTAATGTAAAAAAGTAAAGAATGTGAAGAGCATTTTCCCCTCAGAAGATGATGATCAACAGGCACATGAGAAGCTGTATCAACATCAGTAATCACCAGGAATACACAAATCAAAACCACTGGCAGGTATCATATCACTGCTAGACAAAAAGTATTGTCAAAAAGACAGTAAGTATCGGCCCTCCCTGGTGGCGCAGCGGGTTAAAGCACTGCACTGAGAAGCTGGGGCCGCTTCCGCATGAGTTCGATCCCCGCCTGCCCCCAGAGGAAACCACATGGCGTGGCAGACCTCTCCTGGCCCGCCCGCTGCTCCCCTCAGCAGTGTACTTTGTTGATCTGCCTGTTCTGCTCCCCGCTCTGTCTCTGGTGAAGTCTCTCACTGCCCCTGAGTCTCTGGCCTGTACCCCAGTTCTGTATGTACAAATAAATAAATCTTTAAAAAAAAAACTATCTTAAAAAAAAAAAAAAAGACAGTAAGTATCAAATGTTGGCAAGGATGTGGCGAAGAGGGAACCCCCCCCTGCACTGCTGGTGGGATGCAGACTGGCACAGTCTCTGAGAAAAACTACATGGAGGGTCCTCAAAAGTTAAACAAGGAATTACTATAAGAATTCACTTACTAGCAAAGAAACTACCATTCCTTTTCTGGACATTTATTCAAAGAAAACAGAAATGCTAATTCAAAAAGATACATGCCCCCCTGTGTTCATTATAGCCTTATTTGTAACAGTGAAGATATGGAAACAACCCAAGTGAACACTGGTGAATAAGTAAAGATATCGTGTGTGTGTGTGTTTGTGCATATGTGTGTACAAAATGGAATACTACCCAGTCAAAAAAAAAAAAAAAAACAGAATGAAATCTTGCCACTTACAACAACATGGATGGACCCTGAGGGTATTCTGGTAAGTGGAATAAGTAGCTAGAGAAAGACAGAGACCATAAAATATCAGCTATATGTGGAATCTGAAAACCAAAACTCATACAGAGAACAGGTTAGTGTTTGCCAGAGGAGGACATGAGTGGAGGGGTCAAGAGGTATAAACCTGCAGTTATAAAATTAGTAAGTAAAAAATAAATTAAATAAATAAGTCGTGGGATATGTAATATACAGCATGGAGATTATAGGTAATAATACTGTATTGCATATTTGAAAGCTGCTGAGAATATATCTTCCAAAGTTCTCATTACAAGAAAAAATATCTTGTGACTTTGTGCAATCATTTTACACTATATACATATATATAAAATCATTGTGTTGTACATCTGAAATGAACACAATGTTAACTGTCAATTACATTTCACTTAAAAAACAACATTCCTGCAGCAAGCAATATGCAACCAGAGCCGCACCGTACAGGTCTGCACTGCAGAGGGCAGTGGCTTCTGACCCACCGCCAGGGCCAGAATCTCAGCTGGAACGAAGCGCCCACTTTGGCTTTTGGGGGGCCAGTGGTCCATTTTTCTTCCTTCCCACTCTAGCAGCCTTATCTGTCTATGACAGAACAATCTAATTGCAGCAAGTGTGTACAGCCATCTAGTCAAAAGTAATCAAGCTGAAGTCTAAAGTCATTTTCTAAACATGTTAAGTGAGTGACTATCCAATAGGTTAACCAACAAAATCTTTTAAAACCCAGAGAGAAACTCAAACACATTTTCTCTATACAGCAATATAACACAAACATCTATATTAGAGTTC